TCACATTAATTTCAAGTGTAGCATTCATGCTTTAGTAAAAATTTTAATTTTCTTTGTTGAAAACTTTGTAATGTTCAGTAAAATAATTTGGTTTAAGTATAGATCACCTCAGTAGTTAAGTTGAATTCCTGGGCCTCCCCGGTGGCGCAGCAGTTGAGCGCTGGGTTGCGAAGCTGCCCGCGGCCTCTGCGATGCCGGTTCGATCCCCGGCTGCTCCCCGGCCACCAGAGGAGGGTCCCACATGGTGCGCAGACCTCTCCTGCCGCCCTCTGCTCCCCTCAGCAGTGTACTTCGGTCCTTCTGCCTGCTCTGCTCCCCGCTCTGGCTCTGGTGAATTCTCTCACCCTCCCACGCTTCTGACTGTTCCCAGTGCATGTATAAACAAAAAACAAACAAACAAACAAATAAATAAATAAATAAAAACATGCCTCTATAAAAAAAAATAAATAAAAATAAAAGTGAAATAAGTTGAATTCCTTATCTAATGGCTAGAAATGTTTGAAAGACCACAAAAAGTGAGTAAAAGCATGATTTGGTTAAAAGTAAGCAAGTTTTGGAATTGAACTTCAGATTATATCCTGGCTGTGCATCATACCAGCATGAGAATGTAGTTAATTATCTTAATCTCCCTGTACTTTAGTTTATTTATGTGTAAGGTGGAACCAGTAATACATCTTGAAGGGTTTCTTTTAAAAGATTCATCAATCACATAAAGACTTTCAGCCATTATTATTTATGTAAGTTAATGTTGTATTGTATTGTACATGTAATATATGTCATGTCCAACCTTTGTACAAAAATAATTAGATGACATACAATAAAATACATTTTCATAAGTTGGACAAATATGCCCCCTGCAGACTCAAGTTAAATTAGTTAGTACTTGGTTGTTGTTTTCTTTTTTAATCTAGTGCACATTGATTTAGCTAACATTCCTAGGTACCACGGGAACCTAGATACTGCAGAAGCATAGGTACTGCAGGATCAAAATAGGACATAGTCCCTGCCCTCAAAACTCCTGTAATTTTTAATTTGAATTTAGAACTGCTTTGATAACAACATTATATAATGATTAAGAATACAGACTCTGAAGCTATACCTCCTCAGTTAGGATTTGGCCTCCCCACATGTGACTGGGCAAATTAATCTCTGTGTTTCTCCATTTTTCTCTAAAAAATGGGAATCATATTCCTATTATCTTCCTCATGCTTCTTAAGAACTTAAATGAACTACATTAGAATAATGCCTAGCACATGATCAGCACAGTGTAACTGTTAAATAAAAATTACAATGTACCATGTCAGAATTTTGCAATTTCTATGTTTCAAAGAGCATCTTTTCATCTCTTGATGAATTTAAGCCCTCACTTTCCTGGACTGGATATTACTGAGATTGTTTTGCATAGGCTGCTGTGCAGCTTTATCTACCAAAGGAAGCTACAGCTCAGCCAGTCTGACTTTATCACTAATTCCAGTTAATAAAGTGTAACACTAGGACCTCCCTGCTGACCTAGAGGTTAAGTGTCAGTGCTTTCACCACCATAGCCTGGGTTTGATCCCCAACCAGGGAGCTAACCCACATATGGCACAGTAGACCTCCCTTTCTCATCGCAGCTCCTTTCAACAGTGTATTTTAGTAAAATCCACCTTTCTGCTCCCCACTCTGTCTCTGGTGAATCCTCTCCCCCAGCCCACATCTCTGGCCTTTGCCCCAGTTATTCTATGCATAAATAAATCTTTAAAAAAATAAAGTATAACCTAAGGAATTTAACATCTAAGTCCACATGTACTATAACATTAATTTTTTTAAAGATTTATTTATTTATGCATACAAGAGCTGGGGTACAGGCCAGAGGTGTGGGGGGTAAGAGGATTCACCAGAGACACAGTGGGGAGCAGAACAGGCAGATTGACTGAAGTACGCTGCTGAGGGGAGCAGCAGGCGAGTCAGGAGAGGTCTGCTGTGCCATGTGGGTTTTCCCTGCCTGCCAGGGATGGAACTCATGCTGCAGAGGCTGTGGAGGACAGCTTCATAGGTTGCATCTTAACCCCTTGCGCCACAAAAGGAGGCCCCTGGAAAATCTGTTTCTTAAAAGAAACCTGTATTCCTGGTCACATGAGAAACTTCTTGTGGTAGGTCCTTTAGTTTCTCTTCTTCTGAACATTCTGTTACACTCTTGACCCTGTTCTTGGACTGTGATCTTGTACCAAACTACTTGGACTGTGTTCCATCACATGTTTGAACTTTCAACTTTATCATGCTTCCAGGGAAGTAAAGCACTCTTAAACACAGCAGTGTGTCCTTTACATCCTTTGTACTTCATAATGTGATCAAGATTTAAGTCACAAATGCCAACAGATCAACTAAAATGTTCATAAATTTCCAGAGTTTAAAGTCCACAAGGAACAGCAGTTACAGGTTCTATTTATATAAGCAACTCTTAAAAATAGACATTTTAACATTAGGTACATTTTTTTCTACCTCTATTGAAGAATCTTGGGGAGGATATAAAATACATGGATTACTTACTTTTTTGTTACAATCATATGGTAGAAATGTATACATTGAAACAACTTTCTCATAATGATTTAGATTGCCTAAATAGTGGTAGAAAATATCCTTAGTGAGCTTTGAGCCTAGTGTAGACATTTATTTCCCAGCAGGCCACTGTGTCTGTATGTATCTCTGCATAATGACAACAGTGATGATAAAAGCTGCCACTTCATGAACACACACTGGGTGCCAAATGTTTAATTCTCTATTTCTCTGTCCATCTATCTCCAATTTATAAATCCAGAAACTGAGTCTCAACCCTTGCATCCACAGTTCTCTATTGAGGTATTATAATTACATCAGACATCATTACTGAAATTAACTAATAGTACATGAAATTTGGCATTGCTTATTACCATGAACAAGATAGTAGTAAGAGCTTTTTTTAAGAGACTATTATTTTACCATCAAACTGGTCTTCTAATGGTTGGAAATTGATAGACTTTTAAGAGTAATATATCAGAGAAAATTTAATTGTAATCAAAATCTTTGTTAACTCTTAGCTGCTTTCATGTTGAATTTTTGAGGCATTCCTCCTTATGGTAAGTGGTGCTCTTTCATTAACAGGTTCTGGTTATTGAATCGTTATTTGTTATTTTTTTATTGCTCTACCTCAGGGGTCAGTAACTCTATGACCTGTGAGACAAGTGCATCCTGCCACCTATTTTTGTAAATAAAGGTTCGTTGAAACACACCCATACTTACTTGCTTATGAATAGCCAGCAAAGCCAAAATTATTATCTGACCCTGTATAGAAAAAATTACCAAACCCTGCTGTACTTCATTCAACAAAAGATTTGAAGGAATCAAATACAATACATAATTCTAAAGGCATGGAACTTTCTAATTTCCACCTAATATATATCCTTTATGAGAAAAGGTTGGAGAAGAAGTTAAAAAATGGGGTCATTAGGTTAATACAATGTTTCCTTGAGTATGTTACACTAATTTGAGAATTTGCTCTCTGGTGAGCCTAAGGCCCCCCGGTAGTTATGTGTCATATTGCCCAAATGATTGGATGTGTTTCGGGTCATTTCTTTCTTCCTTTGACGAGTACTTTTTTCCCTATCCGATTAACAGAATAATAAAGAGGATATAAGAAAGACTTAATTTACAGAGAAACAAAATGTAGTGATATGTGAGTTTTTGTTTACCTTCTCTGCCCAAGAGGAGCCAGTGCTCATCAGGTTTCCAATTAGATGGTTATCTGATCCTTTTCAAAGTAATGTCTGTCCATTCCCTCTGTTGAAGTGAGTTAAGTGCAGGTCCCCTTGATGCACTCAAGTTTCACAAGCCTTGGGATCTCGAGTCTACTCTTTACTGTAGGTTCATAATTGATACTGAGGAGCTTTTCCTATATTACATATGAAAATAATGACAGTGTTAGAGTAACTTTTGTAGAGATAACAGAAGAGTACCTTGAGACTAATTAGGCACTATTGAGCTTTTTTGCATGATACTGCTTCTAAAAGAGAGATTTGAGTTTGGAAAATACATTTGTGAAATTTTTTCTTGTTTTTTATTTTCCTGGCTTCTGACTATACTAAACAATAGAAATAAGCATAGCTTTTTTTGTCATTTGGCAGGAATTGTTGTCATGATATGGAATTTTCTTATACATAGGGTATCATTTCAGTAGTACACAACTTTCCAACAAGCCTTAATTTATTGATAGTTTTTACATTTATCTGAAATATAAAAGTGAGAATAAATATCACTATAGGTTGTAAATGTGGAATAAACCTAGTTTCCCCAAAGATGTAAATTAACTTAAACCCAACAAGTTTTAATTAGAATACTCTAAAATGCCAGTGTTCTTGGTGAAAATACTATAGGAATATGCATGGAGAAAATGCAGTATTCTATTAAAAAATACATACACACACACACACCATTGAAGAGTAGAGAAATGAAATTTTTAAACAATAACACAAATCATCAAAATGTAAATAAACCATTGAATTTCTTAGTGAAAATTGAGACATTATTTCCTTCTTTGGTTTGATCTGTTACCAGCAAAGATATTTCAAAGAGGTTTTCAAAATTTAAATGTTCATGTCAGGAAAAAAAAAAGATTCTCTTCAACTGTAATAGCGTAATTTTCATAAGCATTCAGTCTTACTGGTCCTAACTCTAGAGTACATGATTCGTAGTAAGAAACATCCCACTATGGTGGGAAGAATATGAATGTGCTCTGGCTTTTTGTTTGTATCTGGTTTTGCTTTGGGAAGATTATTCAAATTTTGAGGTTGCTTTTTTACTGTACAATTCTACAAGTTATATTTGTAAAGTACCACGTATAGAGTTACTACCATGATTATCGTTTATAACAGCTGTTTCTCTCTTAAGTAGTCAAGGGGGTTATGATAGTATTGATGATAAAGCTATCACATTACTAAAATTAGATAAATGAAAATAAATTTTTGTTGGGGGGGGTTTTGATACAGACAGCTTTATTAAACCGCCTGGAGAGAATTTTCGAAGCATGTTTTCCTTCCATATTTGTCCCTGATACTGAAGAAGAAGTTACTTCCCTAAAGCACTTGCTGGAAACAAGCACCTTGCAAATAAAAACAAAAGAGGCCTTAGCTGAAAGTGGGTAAGTAGTGGACAGTTTTTAAATGATATGTATTGTTGTTTGTGTCAACTGTTCTAATTTATAAAGTTATCCAGACACATTAATTTCTAAAACATTGTATTAAGTTTTAAAGAATCATGTGCTAAAAGACGTTACAAACTCCGTTTTTCAGCTTTTCCTTGGACGTAAAAATTGCCTTTGTCTTTACTAAGTCTTTCCCTACCCTCTTCTTCCCAACAGCCTGTTAATAGAATTTTTCTTGCAATGGAAAATATAAGACTGGCCATTACATTTTTACCCCAGAGCCTTTGTCTTCCTATTCTAACTTGGAATGAATTCATTCTAGGCTTCTTACACATGTATTGTGTGTGTTAAGACTTCCCTTCACTTAGATCCCATTTTGGAGGAACAATCCTTTAATAGCCTCCTGAGAGAAAAAGAGCATTGGAAGGAAACTTTTATTTTACCCTCACATTAACATTTATATTTATGATCTTTTCTTGCTGATGTTCTGAAATTTTAAAATGAAGTATCTTGTGTATGATTCTTTTTTCATTCATTGAACTGAGCACTAGGGCTGGACCTTTTAATCTGGCAACTTTTCTTGTATTGGCAGTAATCTTCCCTCCATTGTCTTTTTTTCTTAAACACCAACTAATTATTGGATGTTAGAGGATATTGATTGATTTTCTAATTATAATTTCAAAAATATTATCGTTCCTGGACTACTTTCTTGCATTTCATTCCACTCCATCTCTACAGGCGTTTTCCTCTGCAGATCCCTTCTTCCATTCACCTAAGTCAGCTCATGTCCTTTATCCTAATATTTGTTAAATTCTGTTACACTTCTGTTAAAACTGGTATAGGGTTTTAACTACCTCCTAATTTCATTAAAGATCTTAAAGATTGAGATTGTTTTAGCATCCTATTTTTATTTTGGGATAATTTCTGAAAAGAGGAGACAAAAATGTTTATTTTTCACTGTCTTAAAGCCATTTTTAAAATATATGGTAGTTATACATATAGTTCATACTCTTAGATCCAGTAATCTCTCTCCAGAAGATTCATTCTATGGAAATAATACTACTCCATAGCAAAACAAACCATAAATACAGCAACATATTCATTGCCTTACTAACAAGTAGGATCCAAATAGTAAAAACTATTTAAATCTATAGGGTTGTGGCCAAGTATAGTAGAATAGTAGTATAGTAGAATTTAACAATATAGTAGAATATAACACAGCTATGGAAAAGGGTACATCCGTAGATGAGGAAATGTTTAAAATCTGAAAAAAAGCATACAAAATTATATATATGCTCTAATCCCAATTTTCTGTGGATTAAGACTCAAGGAAAAAACATAAATACTGATTAGTTGTAGTAAGATGGTAGAATGCGGAGTGATTACTTTCCACCTTTTAAATGTTTTTGTTTTACAATAAAAAGAATAATACACAGGCTAAATTTTTGCTTGATTATTGGCAATACTGTTCCAAATTGTTTAACTTAATTACTTTTCTAATGATAAGTATAGACTATTGGTTTCATTCAGGTAATAGTTTGACATAAGATGATGAACATGTGTATTTCACAGTTGTATTAAAAGTAGAATTCAAACATAAATAAATAAAAAATAAAAGTAGAATTCATGGTAAAAATTATTGAGAAATGTTATTGGTGGCTTCATTGTGGTCTTTGCAGGGAACTGCTGGATGTATGGACCGAGCTACAGGATATCCATGATGCACATGGTTTGCAGTATCAGTGGGGTGGCTCCCATAGCAACAAGAAGCTTTTGTGCTCCCTGGGAATAGACACCCGAAACATTGTGAGTTTATTAGTACCTTGGAAAATTCTTTAATCAGTCTCTGGGTATTTTTTAAATTCTGTTACACTTCTGTTAAAACTTGATAAGCTTATTCCTCAGATAAATATTAGTTGGTTTAAATGTTGGCATATTTTGAATATGCTAGCTTTTAAATAATATCCAACTATTTCTCTCATGGACATTTCTTATTTTTATTTATTTTTTTATTTATGCATACAGGAACTGGGGTATAGGCCAGAGGTGCAGGGCTAAGAGGATTCACCCAGAGATAGAATGGGGAGCAGAAGAGGCAGAACTACTGAAATACACTGCTGAGGGGAGCAGTAGGCAAGACAGGAAAGGCCAAGTAGGTTAGCTTCCTTACTGGGGATTGAACTCAGGCGGCCCTGGCTGGCGATAGCTAGATAGTGCTGATACTTAAACCCCTCTGCCACCAGGGAGGCCCACTATTTCTTATTTTTAGAAAACATTTAGTGTTTTCTTTATTGAAAGAATTAGTGAAGTCCAGGTTAAAGGAATTGGATTAGGAAATCAAAAATATAACTCTGTAAGGGAAATTTGACACTTTCTTCAGTTTATCACTTACATGCATGTAGTAAAGTATTACAAGTATATTTTGGAAACTTTCATTGTATGACAGATCATTCACTGAATATCTGTTCTTTTTCTCTAACGTGTATAGCTCTTCACGGGCAATAAGAAGCAGCCTGTTATAGTGCCCATGTATGCAGCAGGGTTGGTAAGTACAAAATATTTCTCCATGTATTTATCAATGCTGCATTTATTCTGTGAAATCATCTTACCTAGCATGATGTGGAAAGTATATTTTAGGGGCCATTTAGTGTGGGAACATTGAAGGATAAATACAGTATCCTCTTTGATCTCGTAACTCCCTTCAAATCTTGATCTGAGGACATTTTTTATATTCCATTAATTACAGACACTGCTGTTTTAAAGAGAAATTACTTTTATCTTAGTAATTTTAGTGCACTTAACTCTTTACAAAATGCACTTTCAGGTTACTCTTATTCCTTTTCATTTTCTTTTTAAAAGGAAGAACCTCAAGTATCTGAAAATCTACATAGCATTTGTTTTAATCCAGCTATAGTCAGTGTTAAATAATGTAATGTTGAGGCTATGGATAGATATAAAAGCTTGGAAATGCAAATTATAGTAAATGAAAATGAGCCAGGATAGATGTCGTCACTTTTTCCATCAATGTTTTTAAATGTGTTGAATTTTCTTTTTTCAGATATACCAGGTAGTCCAGAATATCTGAGGAATTTTCATTGTGTACCTTGTCAAGATTCAGTCATACTTTTAAAGTTTGATGTGTTTGTGTTTTTTTGGTGTGTCTTGGAGTTATTGGTGAATAAAAATGGCCTATCTATTAAATTAAAATATTTTTTAATTCTTTCACCAATAACTTAAATAAAGAAGAAATACTATTTTTAAGAAAGAAAAAAATAAGAAACCCTTAGTATGGAATTTAAATTATATAACCATTTATGTGCATGTGAAAATGAATTTGCTGTGGAACTTGACCTCTCCGCCCCCCCCAAACTCCAACTTTTTCCATGTATTAGAACTAATTATTGATATTGAATTGTACTGTTTTGTTTTTATAGCTTTCTCTGTTTCATGGAATTAAAAAAAAAATTCCTGTGCGTCAACTTTTTTATCAGTTTCTGTTCCTTTTTAATTAATTAACTGTCTTCTATTCAAAACACGTTGATCATTCCTGCACTCTGTTATAGGTAAATATAATCTAGAACTTGTTTTTAACTTTTTGGATATTTGGATTTTTTTTTTTTTCTTCTCAAGGAGTGTGTATATGTTACACTGTGTGTAGGAAGTAAGAATTAAATTTTGTAGGAACTTTCATTCATTGAGTAGGAAGTTGTAACCTTTTTTTTTTTTTAAAGATTTATTTATGCATACAAGAGCTGGGGTACAGGCCAGAGGTGGGGGTGGGGGGTTAGAGGAGTCACTGGAGACAGAGTGGCGGGGGAAACAGAACAGGCAGATTGACTGAAGTACACTGCCGAGGGAAGCAGCAAGGTGAGTTAGAAGAGGTCTACTGCGCCATGTGTGTTGCTCCCTGGCTGGCCGGGAATCGAACTCATGCTACAGTGACTGCGAAGCTTCATAGGTTGAGTCTTAACACTTGCGCCACCAGGGAGGCCCGGAAGTTGTAACCTTAATGATTATGTGTAGGCTACCACATTAGGCAATTCTACAAGATTTTGGAGGAGTTATAGACTAATATTTGTCCTTTATTTTTTTACCTTAATTGTAATCTTTATTAGTAATAATTTTACCACTTTTACAAGTTTTTGATACTAAAGTTGATTCAGTGATATATCTATTCTCCATCATTGCCTTATATTAGGAAACAGTCTTCTTCATATCTGATTTCAAATCTTAGCTATACTTAAATTTTCCCATGGTGCTTTATATATGTAAAGTGTTTGTTATCTTTTTATCTCAGCTAGAGGAATAATACATGAAGTAATAATTTTAAGTCACTTTTTCTCAGATTTTCATGTGTATCAGAATTGCTTGGCAGATTTGTTAAAACACAGAATGTTGTGCACTGCCCCCAAATTACTTATTTAGTAGGTCTGGGTTAGGGCTCAAGAGTTTACACATCTGACAAGTTCCCACATGATGTAAAAACTATTTATTGGGCATCACATTTTGAGAACCACTGATTTTTGGTGCTAGTTCGCATTAGAAAAGTTAGATAAAAACAGTAATTGTTCACCACATGCATTGTCCTTGCATAAGCATACACTAGAGAGTCTGTATAATATATATGGTTATAACCATATATTATTATTTTGTTTTACATGTTCAGTTGCTTTGTTTCCTTGTAGTCCAAATATACATGGGCTCATCCAATATTTTTCTTTTTCCTTCTAACTTCCTTCACTTAGTATAATCCCCTCCAATTCCTTCTTTGGCAAATGGCCAAAGTTTATCTTTTCTTATAACTGAGTAGTATTCCATTAAAAAAATACACACACACACACCCCATCACCTTTATCCAGCAATCTGTCAATGTGCATTGAGGTTGTTGTCCTATCTTAGCTGTTGTAGATAGTGTTGTAGTAAACATAGAGATGCATTTATCTTTTTGAGTCAGTAATTTTGTATTCTTCAGAGAGATACCCAGAAGTGCAAGCATTCTGTCATACAGTAGTTCTAATTTTAGTTTTTTGTTAGGGGGAATTCTGAAAATTCAATTTTTAGAAATTTATAGATTCTAACATTACTGACTTAGCAACTTTGATTCCTGCCTCCCACTCCACCCACCCCCAGTTAAGAGAGACTTGTTCCGGGCCTCCCCTGATGGCGCAGGCAGTTGAGCGCAGTGCTGTGAAGCTGTCCACAGCCTCTGCAGCGCTGGTTCGATCCCAGCTGGCAGGCAAGGGTCCCACATGGCGTACAGACCTCTCCTGTCACGCCCGCTGCTCCTGTCAGCAGTGTATTTCATCAGTCTGCCTGTTTTGTTCCCTGCTTTGTCAATGGTGAATTCTCTCACCCTCCCGCGATTCTGGCCTGCACCCCGGTTCTTGTATAAATAAATCTTTAAAAAAAAAAAGAGAGAGGGACTTGTTCATCTGGTTGATAAATACTCAAGAGTTTATCAAATATTTTAAAGTCTATATACACTTGGCTTTTAAGGCCTTTAACAACTGTATTATTACCCATTATTACTAGTGTTTTACAGAATTTTGATGCAAAATGCTTTTTTCCTTTTTGTTTCTATTCCCATTCTGAATGTCTTCCTTTTTTACTCAAAAAAGTTTGTTAGATTTATAACATACCACGTGGAAATGTAAGATGTTTCCCCCTATAAAATGTAAGATATTTCCCCCTGTTTCTGCTTCACCAGTTCCAGGAATTACATACTAAAGGAAGCATGTAGACATCATCACATTACATGGTGTGTTTTAGAATCAGTTCTCACTTTTCTGAATACCAGCACAATGTAATGTGTATGAAGGGTGCTCATCCCTGTAGTTTCTGTGTCTGAAACACAAAAATGTTGGATTCTTAGGGCCTGGATGTAATAAACTACTATGCTGTCCTCTTCCCCATCCTTCTATCCTTGCCCTCCCATCACATTGTTTCAGTGATAACTAGGCTCTTTAAAATGAATCTGACTTAAAATACAAGGTTTTACTTCAAAACAATTTGATTCCAAAGATATTAGTGTGAAGCATTTCCCATTGTAGTACTAGAAGATTTCCTCCATATAAAATTTAAGAGTATTTCCTTTGTGTCTTTAGTACTTTCCAGATGACCTGTTTTTTTCTTTCTGCTTTCTGTTAGATTAACTCTCCTGTAAAGTTTATGGATTGATCTCTCCCACCCCTCATCCCCCACCCCAGTTAATGCCTCATGTGACTCTTTCAGGGTATGTTAGAGCCCACCAAGGAACCATTGAAACCACTATCTGCTGCAGAAAAAATTGCTTCCATTGGTCAGACAACCACCATGTCACCAGAAATGAACACATGTGCATCTGACCAATTCCAGGTAAAAACATGTATATAGATAGGTTAATGCATATATGTCCACATATATCTACATGCACTTTTGTTTCCATCCATATGTAACTTCAAGTTTTTAAAACATTTTTTAAAATTTAATTTCATCATGAATATGATTTTATTTATTGACATAAGTATTGGAATACAATGAACAAATTATCTTTAATTTTTTAAAACAGAAGGGCACAGTTTGAGAACTGACTGGTTATGGGTAAGTCCTTTAAACCTATTCCAGGTCGTAGTCTCTTTACCAATAAAGTAAAAACCTTGAAACAGATATCTCTAAAATTCCTTACAGTTTAAACATTCATATGATCATAGTTATTGATATACAAATTTGGTAAGTGCTAGGTTTTTAAAAAATGGAAAATATGTTAAAATGATGTGTGACCTTTAACAAAACATCCTGTGAATCAGTGAAAATGAGAATTCTCTTACCTTTCTTATCCTTTACTCTCTTGACACATGTAAGCACAAATTGTATTTCTGTCTAATATGTTTAATAGTAAAGTCTTCCATCTCACTTTTTATCTGTAAGAAAATATCTATTTTGGTTTGCTTTCTCTCCCCATATCAAATTAAAAACTGACTCAGTGCTAACTAAATATTATTTTCAGAAGATTAATATTTTAACTGAACATTACCATTCCTAAAACATGTTCTTGCTGTATTTATTATTTCTTAACCTTAAATAGCTCCAATTATATCCAACACAGAAATGTGTTTGACATTCTTGTCCAAAATGTGTGTTCCCTTGAACACTAATCCTCAGAGATGCTTCATTAATGGAGGTGAATCAAGTTTGGTAAATACTTTATAGTCTACCCCCTAACCACCCTGGAAGATTCACTACACACACCCATTACAATAGTGAAAAATCCTACAGCAACTAGCCCTATTTAATTTTAATTCATTTCTCAAATTTACTTAGCCATAGAACTCTTTTCTGCAGGGACTATAGGAAGAGTCATAACACCTGTAGAATTAGTGTTTTGAAGAACATACTTAGAAATTAATGATGTAAAGTCAGGGCCTTCCCCTTTTAGCTGTATTTCAAGAAACATCTAATATTACTGCTCTATACCACTGTGGTTTATCCTTGGACATAACTTCAACATCCCTTTGAAGCCAGTTTATTATTGGCACTGAATTGTGGACAAGGACACCTGATGCATAAAATCCCTGGCCTTAATGATGGTTTGACAGCAGACAAAGTAACTTGGGTAAAATACCTCAGTAAGTAGAATCAGTTCTTTGTTATCTTGTTACCCTCTGGCTATCAGCTACTCACTGAGGCTTGTCCTATCTATGCAGATCTCAAAATTACTTGTCCCTTAGCACACCCCACATCTGTCTCCATCAACATTCTTATTCCTGCAGTGCTAGGTATTAGGAAAGGAAATTGAATAATTTATCTGGTTCATTTATTTAAAATAGGGCTGTTCTTATTTGCGATCACTTGTGCTACTTTTACTTGCCTCTTCCTCCTCCATCCTTTCACTTCCACATCTTATAGCCCTGTAAATAATTGCTTATTTTATGAGTGTTAACTGTTTCCTTTCATTTGCTCCTAGCTGATTTTATCATCCTATGTGTGTCATCCTAGTCATACCTCATACTTAATCGTCTTTCTTTTATAATTTAGTTATAGGCTTGACTAAAACTAGTTTAGATGACCTAATAAAAAAATCATGTGTGTTAATTTAATGAAAGACTTTTAATGGAAACAAATGTATATTAATTTAATGGAGGTTAATTACAACTCCACGATATGTGTTCAACTGCTGCCATCTCTGTACATATACAGATTCCCCTCAGCGCTTGTAATTGTTGCTGTCTCCCGATTTAGAGGCTACTATAGACATTTTCAGTAGCATTTAATCATATTTAACTGTTCTGCTAGTTAATGGAACTTGGTATCTTGCTGCTTATGAAAAATAAGCTCTTGCTAATCAAACATACATACTCTCTTTTTCTGCTTAGTGAACACACTTCTCTTTTTAAAAAATACATGTATAAATATTGAGTTAATAAGTTGCAAATTTAATTTTTAAAATGTTAATTTTTATTTATTTATTTTTGCTATCTGATGTTCCTCATGAGCTTTAGATTTTAAGCTTCCCAGTGAACTTCTTCAGACTTTTTTCAGAATTGACCATGTAGGTCTTCATTCTAGCATATACATATTCAAGCTCAAAATTTAAGTATGCATATCAGAATTTTGTGCAGAGATGTCTGTGCTTTATCACTAAATTGTGGGATTATTGTTTGAGCTCCATACTTCTGATTCAGGTTAAAATATTTAGCAGACATCTAAAATGCATTGTAAAGAATCTATGTAAAGTAATACTATTTACCACTATTCTCTGACAAGCACTATATATATTATTTTTACTTTACATTTTGGCCATGTGGTAATACTGTACATTTCCCCTGAAGTCATAATTTTCAAATGAAACCACCATACCTTTTAGTGCTAGGAGCTTAGTAAAATGTGTCAAGAAAGACCTGCTCACGCCTGACTGTTTGTTTTGGAGAAACGTACTGAATCTTCCTTATGTGTTTGTTTTTGATATCACTAAACAGTGACTTTCAAACTTAACATAGTTATATAGTTCTCATTATGGTTGCATGCTTTTTGATCTGTATGCTATCTCAATTTTGGAACCCATTGAATTTTTATTTTTCTAAATTAGTTTGTACCCATTAATCTTATAAGCATTTACAGTGCTTGTTTTTAATAACTTATTAACAAACTGCTAGTGGTGTTTTTTCAAATATCTTGTACCTGAAAAGATAGCTTATGGGTAAAAAGAAGTAGTGATACTGTCTTGTTATTTTATCTTTATCTAAATTTCAAGGTCACGTCATTCACAATGTCATCACTAAGTCCTCTCTTAAGTAAGATCAATGCTTTTTTTAATTGACTGCTAAGTAGAATTAAATCTCTGGTTAGCAGTTATCCAACTAGTCATCACTAGCAAAGTTCATCTCAAATGATTTGATGTGGCTATTTGAATTGTGAATCAGAATTTTATAATTTGAACAAAGAAAAGATATCTAGCAAATTGTGCTGTTTTTATAATAAAAACAGATTTGGAAAGGCTAAGTGATACAGCCAAAGTCATACATCAGTGGTACAGCTGGAACTAGAATCCAAGTCTGTGTCTTTTTCTCCTTTTTTAATTTTTTTTTTTTTTTTTGCCTTTTATTGTGATCTTGTTTCCTTAGTGCTTATGTCTCTGAAATAATCAGTCATACCAGTTTGCTTCAAGTTGTTCTAAAAAGCTGTATCCTGATATTTTCTCTTTAAGTTGTTTTACTTATCAGTGCCACTAGTTAGCCTCTAATTGCTTATGTATCCTGTTTTTTATCTCTCATTTCAAATGTTGATTCATGTTTTTGCCCCTTGTTATTTATAGTATTGACTATGTATTCAAAATGTCATATACCAGTATGAGAAGCCAAAATTCCAGCAAATCGCTGAAATATTTCTAAGCATCCAGTTGTTTGGTATCATTTAGGCAAAACATATTAATGAAAGAACCTTGCTCTGTTAATACAGAAATTTTGTTATTGCATAAACCTGGGTTTTGCCCATGAAGTTGATGTTGAATGTGACTAAAAATATCATTAATCTAGAACTACAATAATATAAGTTGAGTCTCTTAGAACATATAGAGCTTTTTGTTAGTGTTTTAGATCAGCTAAAGAAGATCTTTTCTAAATGTTGTTTTTAAGTCTTGCAGGTAGTTTATAGATTTTCACCATCATTTTTTTATTTTATTTGAAATAATTATAGATTCCAAAAGTTGCAAAAATATATAGAAGGGATACCTTATGCTCATCACCATTTTCCCCCACTAATATATCTTACATAATTCTAACACAGTATCAAAACCAGGAATGTCATCTTATGTGGATAGAGTCATGTAACCACCATCATAATTAAGATATAGCACTCTTCCCTCATCACAAAGAATTCCCTTAACATCTCCTCCCCATACCTCCCACAATCATCCTTAACACTTGGCACCCACTAATAATAGCATTTTACTTTGTTTATACCTTCCTACTCAACCTACAGACCTGATCTGATTTTTAGAAGACTGAATGCTTATCATAACATGCCTATCTTGTTATCCCAGATATCAAGACAATTATATTATGATATCATAAGATGGATTCACCTTGTAAAAAATAGCTGATTCATGCTCCTTCCTTACTGGAACAATGTCTATCTACACAGAAAAAAAAATGAGTATAAAATTTTAATTGTGCCTACCTTACAGTAAAACATAGTGGCAAGCAATAAAAATAAATGACAATCTTGATATTATGATTCTAATGAAGCAGGTTATTTCAATTTGTGTCGTCAGTACCACCACCAAAATAAAAGAAAGAAAACAAAACCAAAATAAGTGTTAATGTTTTCTCATCTAGAATATATTTTAAAGTAAAGCAGTGCTCACTTTAATATGTTTTTGTACTACCTTTCATCTTACATGTACTACTTGCTCATCTTATCTTTGTTTTTAACAATTAACAAAATTTTAAGACCCAGGCTATTCAAAAGAGTTTTGAATATACATTTTAATACATTATTTTAAAAATTAAATTCTGATACTGGCTATAACTAATTTTAAATTAGAGAAGTTGATTAAAATATTTTAACTTCTTGAACATTCGGTTCTCATCTACTAACCCATAATTTCCTTCATACTTTGGAAGGTTATAAAGAGCCAGAGATCTTGGCCTTTGAATCTTCTCATTTACTTGTAAGGAAACCAAACCTTATAAAATCCAACAACTAGTTGTGTTAGTAGTAACTTGATCTGAACCCAAATCTCCTCACTTTCAGTACATATCTTCTCTGTTGCTATATATAATTTATTGAGAAATTTTATTTATTTATTTTTTTAAATAGGATTTCCCCTTTTTATTTTTTTATTTATTATTTATTTATTTATTTATTTATCCATCCAAGCACTGGGTACAGTCAGAAGCACGGGAGGGTGAGAGAATTCACCAGAGCCAGAGCGGGGAGCAGAGCAGGCAGAAGGACTGAAGTACACTGCTGAGGGAAGCAGCGGGCGGCAGGAGAGGTCTGCGGGCCATGTGGGACCCTCCTCCGGTGGCCGGGGAGCAGCCGGGGATCGAACCGGCGCTGCAGAGGCTGCGGGCAGCTTCGCAACCCAGAACTCAACCCCTGCGCCACCGGGGAGGCCCTTATTGAGAAATTTTAAATGATTGTCATTTAAAGTAGATCACTCTTTAGCAAAAAATGTCTGAAGTTTTCTAAATATTTAAATATTTTTATTATAATCAAGCCAATTTTTAACAAGCCATAGTTTAAGTCATGATTTGAGATTAGATTTAAATTCTGACATAGAATTGGTATATCAATTTCTGTTTGAAAATATAAATTTATTCCATTTCTCAGATACATCTGTTTTAATGTCAATAAGGTATACTGTTTACAAATTTTAGAATTTCAGATTTGTGTTAATATTTTCAGGTAACCTTCTGAAATTATAAATTATCCCAATTTTGTCCTTAGGTATTTTATTGAGTTTAGGTATTTTATTGCCAAATGATCTTGCTATAGTTTTTTTTTTTTTTTTTTAAGGATTCTTTATGTTGCTACAACCTGTATTGATTAATTTTTGATTTTTTGGTTTTCAACTCTAGGAGTCTCTACCACCCGTCCAGTTTGACTGGAGTAGCAGTGGCCTTACTAACCCTTTAGATGGTACGTCTCTCCGTAGAGCCTCTAGCACCAGAGCTAGAGTTAAGAAAGCTACAAAGTTCAGACAGACTTCTCTCTGCTGATTTTCATTTTTGTTTGAACATAACTTCTTATCTTTGGAAATTCAGGCTTTCTTTCTGAATAGTAATTGCTCAAGAAACCAGCCATTCCTATTATTAACAGTATTAATGTCCAAATATAGGTAGTAGTAGCTTGATAAAATTTTGTTTCTTTATCTTAAGTCAAAATAAGCTTTTATTTATTTTTTAGAAATATCTAGGTAGTCTAAATGATAGGTAGGACCAATTTACTTGAAAATTTTTTCTGTAGTTTTATGGAATTTTCTTGGATGCAAAGTATTGTGACTAGAGATGGCTTTAAAGCACAAAGCACAATTATTTAACCAAAAACAATGTGCAAATAGATCATATTTATTGAGTCAAAGTAGTTTTGAGATTTAATAATATTTTATAGAATACTTATATGCAAATGGAAGTGAATAATTTTCTTGATCCTTTTTCTAAAACATCTCAAAATGCTAGAAGGTAGTTCCAGAAATAGTGGATTTCATTTATGACTTAAAAAGGAATGACTGAAAAAGGAATAACTATTCCAGTAATGTGGGATCTTGAAAATAAATAACACAAAATGCTACTTTTCCAGTAAGTTGACACCACAAGTTTTAATTGGACCTTTAGATAAAATTACTCTTAGTCCTTATACTTCCTCAGTTTGAGTCAATGTCTAAAACACCTGTCAGTTTTTTGACTTTTCCTTATAGTGGGAGGCCTAGACTATCTGGAAAGCATCCAATTGAATAACAGTGCTGAAGGAAAGCCTGGATGCACATTTTACTGTTGTCTGGTGTCTTTATTCAGTCAAATCATTATGCTTTTTATTAACAGACTACTTCTATAAAAATGTATACTATTTCTGATTACTGTTTCAGAGTTAAAGGGGAACAGTACAGCTTGAGGTTGCACATCAGGGTAGGGCAGTTATGACATTCCTTATTATATTATTTTAAACTAAGTTAATGTATTGGTGCGTGTCCTGAAACTGACGACTTTGTCACTCTTGAAAAGTCATTAATTAGAAACCAGCACTACTAACATGAAAGATTGATTTGGGCATGTACTGTGTGATTTGATGTTGAGTTAAGATTAAAGTATTGTTTCCCTTTAACGGGTATACCTTCCCCTTGATCTTTCTGGTATGGCTTGAGTTTTGATTGAAAGAACTGAATTCCTAACTAAAACCTTACTAAGTGTTAATTATTTACATTGTACATGAGAAAATGTACATTGAATTAAATTGTTACTTTAGAAATGTCCTTAGTAATGAAAAACTGATACTGTACACATTGTTTTAATGTTGATTTTAAAATGTGTAATGACTACTAATTATAACCTGCATGTTCAAGTGTGTGTCTTACCCCTTTTTACACATAACCCCTCCTCCCTTGGCTTACCTTCTGTGTGGCTGCCTACCAACACGGTCACTGAATTTCAAGCTAGTGGAGGTTCCACTCTTCTGAACCTTGATTTCTTTGGGCCCGTGGATGACAGTAGCTCTAGCAGCAGCACAACAATCCCAGGTCAGCAGAGTGTTAAAACCACAATTCTAGTTTATTTACTAAAAGCATGACCACATTACTTGACTTTCCTATAAACAAGGAAACAAGTAGATTATATTCTTTATAATGTCTTTTCTAATACTTTTCTTTCATGTATCTATTGTTGTTTTCTAGTATCTGACTATTACAAATGACTTATGTGAAATGTATTTTAAGGAAAGTTTTCTCAGAGTGTGATATTCAGAGCTGAGAGTAGTTTCTTGGAATAAAACAACCCTAATGTCCTTAGACAGTTAAAGGAGTTTTTTTTTTTTTTTTCTGTGTTTAAAATGTGATATTTTATATGCTTATTTTTTAAAAATCATGTTCTATAAAGCCATTTGAAAAAAAAGTTTAGAGATATAAGAATATTTTAGTACACACAGATGACTTTACATTGTAGTGCTGTGATAATAGAAACTTTACAGAACCTAGCATTTAATTAGTTGTTTATTAGTGCTGCTAGAGGTATAATTAGGTTTCAAAATGTTGGAATCTAGCACTTAGTTGCATAGTCCCAAGTAGAACTATTACTGTTTTTAATGTAGCTCTCATATAGAAGTATTCTGTTTTCCATGGAGGAAAGAAATGTTACAAAAGTTAATGATAGAAAACCTTTGCTATGAGATACTAAAAGCCAGGAATTAAGACTTACTGGAGTGCCTGTTAATGTTTAGCCCTGCGAAAGTTCAGTTCATTGACCAAAGAACTAATGTAATTTGTCATTTTCTAACTGAATAAAAGATTAAAATATAATGGCATTTTTATGTTTATATTTTATTTGATATTATTTTAATGAATCCCTATCATCCCAACTAGTGATCTGGTTAATCACAACTGTTGGTCACCAGACAGCTGTTGGGGTGCTATACAGACGCTGATTGCATAGCAAGGATCCCTCCCCATTTTCACTTGGAGCCATTTACACAGCCAGCCTGGTTCCTAAATTTTTGCTGGGTTTGTTGTACTCTATTAGATAATCTTACCACCCACTTCCAGTAGTTTAGGAGCCATGGCGAAAGGGGGGAGACCGAAAGAGTCAACTGAGGGTGAGCCTGGGAAACACGATGCCCGTTTCCAAGACCTGGTTGTGGAAATCTGAACCTCAATAAGGAAGTTCCAAAGCCACGTGGTAGAATGACTGGATTCCCCAAACCTAATCCCCTCTTTATTTTCACTGTTTCCAAGATTTTACAAGTATATGAAAAAAACCAATGTGTCTGGTTTTGACTACAAAAATGATATTTGCTATTTACTTAAATTCTTTCTAAATGTGGGCTTTGGAATGACTTGGGTGAACTGATTAGTTGTTTTAAATATTTAATGATGGGGGGTTGGAGGGAAGAAAAACAACCACAAACTTATGTATCAGTTTCCTTGTCACTGTATTCCCAAGAATGAATTACTAAGCTCCCATTTTTAATTTTCTCTCAGCTTTGTTTTGTCATGTATTACAGTTTAAATGAGGACACTATTTTTGGATGCCTAAAATCTGATTTAAATTTAATTTTTGGTTACATTTCAAACTCAGTTAAAAACTATGCATAGGAGCACAAATAATCTGACCATATAAAGAAGTACAGAAATTACCTGATAACCAGGCTCAGTATACAAAGCTTCGAGAAAAGCAGGTGGCTTCAGAAGCTTAGAAATGTAATGGAAGTTAAATTAGCATGCTCAAATGTGGTCCTTGTTACTTTGGAACCTTTAAATATTTTTGTTCTGTATTTTTACTAATATGCTCTCTCTGCTTTATAAACTTGATCAAATTTGCTTGGCTTCTTTTTATTGCTATTGGGTTTTGTTAAAACAACATCAAACTCTAGGTACCAGCACCTTCCTTAGTATTCCATTTCACCACTTGCTTGCACTTTTTCTGACTTGTTTCTGGGAAAGTCATTTTGTCTTAGCTCGCTGTTTAATTATTTTGTGTGTGAGACCTAAGGTTGGCATAGAATTTGGTTGGCTAGCTTTGGTTATATAACTAAACTATGCCTCATTAAGGTTCTGTTTAAAAAAAAAAAGAAAAGAAAAACTCTTCCATCAAAAAAATCACTCCTTAATTATTAGTGTAGAGTAAGTAGCTCTCTTGTTAGAGATAAAATTTAGCCATAGTACTTTTTTCTTTTTTTGTTTGACGGTGTTTGGTTTGGGCTCAAGGGGGTTGTTGGGGTTTTTTGTTGTCTTTTTTAATCTCCCACTTTACTGTTTGTCCACTGGCCAGTATTTTACAAATCCAACTAAGTTTTTACTAGTACTTTCCTGTTGCCAGTTAGAATGTAGTAGTTTATTCTGTACTATGCAATGCATTGGACATCATTTTAAATGTGTTTACTTGGAATTGAGCCTTTCACAGTGGAGGAAAGAGGTACTTTGGGTTCATTTTGTCCCTTTACAACATCTACACTTTTTACACCCTAATTGCTACTTATGTAATTACTATAGAAATACAAAGAAAAGGTTTTTTAAAAAGGTATTTTGAAACTGTACCTTAATGACATACTGAGAACTTGGGAAAGTCAACGGACATTTTCTATAGCCTTCCTTCCTTCATGGTAACTGTGGAAGCTGCTTTTGCTTGTTTGATTTCTGTAAACATCTGAGATCTATGTTTCCATCTGCTAGTCATCTGCAAAGTTGGTTAATAGAAGACAGTTCCCGGTTGTCCCTTTAACCTTGAAATATCTTAAGGGGAGGAAATTTGTTAATTTCAATGTATGTATTTATATATCATTTATCTGCTGGTCTTCAGAACTTTTGTAGAAATAATAAGTAAAAATTGATAAAGCATAAGACATTGTTCATTACAATCTGCTTTTCTCTTATATACCCTAAAACTATTAAACTTTTTATCTCACATAATTTCCTATTATCAAAAAAAGTGTAGGATTACACTTTTTTTCTGATTATTATCCCAAGTTCTGCTTTAGTTGAGAATATTTAATTGTTCTTTTCTAGTCATCAGTGTTATAAATATAAATCTATGTTCATGGAAACATAAATGTATATTTTAGTGAAGACAGATGGGGAAGGACTTTATAGACTTTTCAATAAATCTAACTCAACTTCATTTTAGTTCCTCTAATAAGACATTTCAGCTATTAGCCACTAGATTCAGATATGAGACTATAGAAATATAGTTAACCCTTGAGATGACTTTCAGTTTGTCCAAAAGTAATGTTTTTGTTCACTTTTTCTGAGAATAGTTTACCCTCCTCACATATTACCTCAAGAAACAACAATGTGCTTTGAATAATATTTCATGCTTAGATGATTAGAATATAGTTAAACCAAATCATATACCATATTTGAGACTTTATTTTAGCTTCTAAACCTTGATATGGAAGAAAAAATGGTCAGGGAGGTAGGGAGAGAAGGAGATTCAAAAATAAGGTTAATCAGTCTATTTAAAAGTTAAGATGTCATATTTATATAACAAGGTATGTGCATTCTATTTATAAAACATCAGTAACTTTCATATAATAAACGAATCCAAATTTGCAGGAGTTTTCTACAGCAGATAGAAATTTTAGAATTATTTGGGTGGTATTGCAATATATATGTTAAATTAATTAATTTTATACCAAAGTAAAATTTTTAAGTTATTTCCTACTTTATGAGAACTGTGAAAAATGGAAGTTATAATTTAAAAAAAAAAAATGTCACCTAAAGATGTGTTGTGTTGTAAAAGGCTCAGATGTTTACAGAATAATTGCCTTTTGCATCTTGGATTGTGGCTAATTGAGTAACCCATTGCATTTTGCCATCACTGACTATCATTTTATACTATAAGGTGTGGATCCAGAGTTGTATGAGTTAACTACTTCTAAGATGGAAATCTCCACCTCGAGCCTCAAAGTAACTGATGCTTTTGCAAGACTCATGTCCACAGTAGAGAAGACAAGCACATCTACCAGGTAAACACCTAGTGCTCATTCCACACATATTTTGAATTCTGTGTTAAAATAACCCAAATGGTAAAGCACAGGAGTTGGCACTGTTTCAATAGATTTGTGAAAATTCACTTCATATTTGTAAAAACCAATGGATGACTAATTCCAGAAAGCGGTATCAAATTATTTTTCATTATGAACTTTGTTAGAGAAATGCTATTTCATAAGACTAGTGAAGACTGACAGATAGGTTTTTCTTCCCCCCACCCAACTTTGTGGAGAAAAATTCTGTTATAAGTACTGATAGCACAAAGCTGTTGTAGAAACTACCCCCTTCCCTTCATAACTACTGATACTATCTGATAATACAGTTTCGCGCACCCAGAGTCACTGAGGCTACAGTAGGGATGACCATTATTTTATTTGCTGAATTTTCCCTAATGTGCAGCCCCTCTGAATTGGTTTTTATTGGTGGGACCCTCACCGGTGGCTGGGGATCAAACTGGCGCTGCAGAGGCTGCAGGCAGCCTCATAACCCAGCGCTCAACCGCTGCGCCACCAGGGGAGGCCCCTGAATTGGTTTTTAAAGCCCTATTTTATCAGGCTTTCTGGGAGCTTCTTCACAGGCACAACCTTTAGAAGAAATTTCCATTTTTCAGTGTTGGAACCAGACACAAGGATTTGGGCTATGAAGATTCAGAAAACCTTTGTTTTTACATAATTAGGCACTGGAATTAGGCTTTGTCATTTTAGCCCTGAGATTAAGCCCCTTCCTAATAAGGTAATCATAATGAACCAGGGAATCACTGTTGTAAGAGCAAATACTGTTTGATTGGCATACCAGTTCTCTTGCCCCAAGTTCATGACTCATCAGCATTTCAAAGTGGAAATATTTTTTACCTATTGCCCACTTTGGCAGAAGTATTATAGCTCTTTCTCCTGAATAAATACATTCCACTCACATGTCAGCTTCAGATTTCTCTTTTAAATCAATTCTGTAGGAGAACATCCATTTTTAAAGTTTGTGTGTGTGTGTGTGTGTGTGTGTGTGTGTGAATAGTAAGTGCTTACCTGACTTCAAACTTGAACTTGAATTATCATACTGCCTTTCAAATTGTATTGTATGTCTATATTTGTGTTCATTCAACAGGTAGTACTATTAATACTTACAATTATGAAAAGGCATTATTTGTTTTATAATTACAGCTACCCTTAACTATTCCATGGAATGGATTTGTAACATGTACATTCTTGTTTGTCCACAGATTCTCTCCTTTGTTCTCATTGCCCGCTTTCTGTGTAGAGACACTACCTGGCACCGCTAAAGCCTCTGTTAGATGAACCTACTAGTAAATGAAGCCTTTGTGGGCTTTGTCCTTGCTCTCTAATTTTTTTCTCTTGCCAAATCATATTTTCAAATTGAAATTCTCATACACGTTTCTTATCCATTTTTTTGTATATGTTAACCAAAACTCTGTTGCTTTCATTGTTTGGCCTTTCCTTGTTATTTTTTAGAAAATTTTTTCCCCAAGGACAGTCCTGTTTCCCTCTGCAGTCTCACTCTATACTTTTCAAGTCTAAGTGCTGAGAATTCATTCTTTGTGCCATTAGGAGGAGCTCTAGACCACGTTGTTAACTTGCTTGTTCTCCTAACTTTTTAGCTCATCCTTAAAGAACGTGCTGTACGCTAACTAGGGAACTTTGCCAACTCCTATCACTTTAAGAAGTCATTTTCATTTTTCCCCTCATCTCTACTGCGATGGAATGAACTGAAACTACAGTGTGTATCCCAGGGTCTGTGTAGTACCTACATTGAGTTACTCTCTAGTGCTCTCCAGCTTCAGATTTAAAACATAATAAATTGAAAACATAATAAATTGAAAACAAACTGGTTGCCAACATTTTTTTTTTCTTGTGTGATGAATTATTTGAAAATGGTGAGAAATACAAAACATTCACAAGTCTTACAGTTAGTTAATGCTGTAAAATGTCACCATGAGTGACTCTCAATTGTGCAGGGAAGAGAAAGGGGAATGGCATAGTGTCAGAAAATGTCAGTGTCTTTGCTTTCATCTTTTTTTATTTCAAATGAAATGAAAAAGTAAAACTTAGCAAAACTTTGCCTCTTGTCAATATACAGAAGATCAAGTGAGGAGACACTGAAGGACTATTGAATAAGAAAAGGTTAAGAAGCAGTGATCTAGGTAGAGAAAATTTGACGTGTAACAAACAGCATCCCATACTGCTAAGTGCTGTTGCATATGTCAAGAAATTACATGTGCTTTTCATGCTTTACTTGACCGTTGTGAAAGTGACTTCTCACTTTTCAAAGAAATCAAAATTCTTAGTTTTAAAATAGTTTTATCTTCTTGCTTGTCTTTTTTAATAAGGGGGGGGAAATTACTTCCTAATCTTAATCGGCGGTTGGCCAGCAAGCTAGTTGCCACAAAGGTATAACTGAAGTTTATACAAGGCAAAGGTTTTTTTTAACCTTTTAATTGAGATATAGTTGATGTGCCGCAAAATTTACTCTTCTCAATGTACAATATAATGATTTTCAGTATATTCCAAAGTGTATTCATAAGGGTGCACAACTCTACCGCTAATTACAAAACATGTTATCAACCCCAAAAGAAAACTCCATACACACTAGCATTTGCTTCCTATCTGTCACTTTTTCCAGCCCCTGACAACCACTAATCTTTGTGTCTATGGATTTGCCTATTCTGATTATTTCATAAATGGAACCATGTGATATTCAGCCCCTCATGGCTTCTTTAACTTAGCATAATGTTTTCAATTTCATGTTACATGTATCAGTACTTTTCATTCCTACTTATGGTTGTGTAATATTCCATTATATAGATATCTCACATTTTGTTTATTAATCCAGTGCTGGATATGTAGATTGTTGCTACTTTTTGATCATTATGAGTTATGTTGATATGAACATTCAGTACAAGTTTTCGTATAGACAAATGTTTTCAGTTTTCTTGGAAGTAAAACTGCTTAGCCATATGGTAACTCTCTCTGTTTCACTCTTTGAGGAACTGTGCAAAAGGTATGAGCATTCCAGTTTTTCCACATTCTCCCCAAAACTTTGTCTCACTTTTTCTTTATAGCCATCCCAGTGATTATGAAGTAATATCTCATTGGTTTGCATTTCCCTCATGGTGAATGATGTTGAGCATCTTTGCAGATGCTTACTGACCATTTGTATATATTCTCCAGAGAAATATCTGTTTGTGTTCTTTGTCTATTTTCATTGGGTAATTGTTCTAGGAATTTTTTACACATTTGAATATTAGACCTTTATCATACATGATTTACAAACATTTTCTCATCTGTGGTTTATTTTTCACTTTTATGATAAAGTCCTATAATAAATACAAAAGTTTTTTTAATTTTGAGGAAATCCAATTTTTATATATACCTTTTTGTTGCTGTTATGCTTTAAGTGTCGTATCTAAGAAGCCATTGCCTACTTCAAGGTTGGGAAGATTTACATGTAGGTTTTCTTCTAAGAATTGTATAGCTTCAACTCTTACGTTTAGGTCTTTGACCCATTTTGATTTAGTATTTAAATATGATATAGGAGCCCAACTTCATTCTTTTGCATGTGGATGTACAGTTGTAACAACATTGTTGAAAAGACTCTTCTTTCCCCCATTGAATGGTCTTGGCACTCTAGTTGAAAATTGATTAACTATAAATAGGTTGTTTCCATCTGTTTCACGATTGCATTCTATTCAAAAAAGGGACAGATATTAACTAGAGAGAATATAAATTAAAATTAGGTCACTGCCTGTCTTTGAGAAAAGGTCATGCTATAACTTTATTTTCAAATAATCCTCAGCATTTTCTTCTTTCTTATATTCTAAGAAAACTAGATCACATCACTGGCTGTGACTACAGAAAAATGCACAAACTGTGTAAATTTTTTTCTTATTTTAAAATACAACTTCATATTTCCTCCCCTGAAATAAGACCATTGCTAGAAACTTTAGAATAATCTTTACCAACCGTTCCTTGGGTGAAAGCTTCTTCCTAGCTCTCCTTTTGCACACTCCGGACTGCACTTAACAAATGAGGGCATCCATTTGGGTGCAGTTTTATTTGCAACGTTTTACATAATCTTTAATCACTACAGAAGCAGTAAGATATATTGTTGAAAGTTAAATTAAAAGTTAAAGTATCATATTCTTACCACTCAGATCACCATAGCTCCTTTGTGCATATTCTTTCAGATCCTTTTCTATGCAAATCTACATGTTTGTGGTATTTTACCAAAAAGGAGATTTTGTACACCATATTGAATTCAAGCTACTCTTTCAGTCAGTGACCTCCATCTGTTAATATCAGTAAAGTTTCAGTTCATCTAATGCACAGGCTGTATTCAGTTTTCCCCAACAATGTTCTTTCTGCTTTATCCAAACCAACATCCGTTCTACAACTACTGTACCTGACTGTTAAGACTCTTAAGTCTCCTATAACCTAGGTTATCTACCCCATCCCTTTTGATTTTTCAACCTAATGCTAGCTTGTTTAAAAGATGATTTTAAATAAATTGGTCACTACCAGTTATCCCAAACTGTAGATTTAGCTGTAGCTTCCTTGAAATCAGTATTTAATATGTTTTTATATTCTCCTTCCTGCATACTGAAAATTCTAAGGGTCTGATGGACTCAGGTAAAATATTTTGGCTAAAGTGCATCATATGTTGCACGTAATGTCATATGTTGCACGTAAAGCCATGTAATGTCTGATGGACGCCGACGCCATCATTAGTGATGCTGAGATTGACCATGGGGGAGAAGTTGACCTTTTTCCATTATACTCTTCCAGTTTTTCACTTTTAGATTAAAAAGTGAGCTATCTGGTTTCACTTAGGAATGATGCCAATAACCAACTCCCCATGAAACATGCACCTACACATTTTGCCAGCATTTGCATGCAATCCAAACTGTAGATTTTAATCAAAAGTTTATATTAACATTTCATCCTTCTGAGAACCCCAAGAACTGAATTCAGCATTGGTTGATCTGCTGATGATTTCAGTGTTCCTAAAATTGACCTCCTGCTGAAGAACTTTGATCCTAAACACCTGATGTTTGATTTTTTTGGTCCTTCTATGAAATCTTTTTATTTAAGCCTGAAATAAAAAATGGTAACAACAGAAAAGTCTAGGTATAAAATAAAGGCCTACATCTAACTTCCCTTTCTCGCTTTATCTCCTGACTTCCTGCTCCCCATTCCAAGGACAAAGTAAATATTTCGGTGGAAGAAAGAACTTGTGTCACACCTCATAGAGTACCAACTACCCTTTACCATGAAAGATAATTGAGCTTTTTACAGTTGACGATTTTAAATGAATTTTCATCTACAATTAATATCTGTATTCTCCAGTTCTTCTTTCAATATAGTTAACAAGGGGAAAGGGTTGGATTAAGCCACATTTGAAGCTCAGTTGGCATTTTCTATAGCTAACCTGCTGGGAAGACCTGGGTCACCAGGAATTCCGCCCATCTGTGGCAGGCACCAAACTGCTCACTTCTTATGTCAGGGACCAGTGTGGTAACATACGCTTTATCCACAGGGCCCTGACAGGACCCTAAGATTTCCCCTCTCCCCGAGTTCTTCCTGCCTGTGTCCATCTTAACATCAGCAGCTGCTCTTAGTGCTGCTGCTTTTGGACATACCATCCGTATCCCACAGGACTGAGGTGCAGTGTTTTTGAACTGAGGGCTTTCTCTCCTGGAATTCCCCATTGGGGATGAAGAAAGCCTGAGGTTAAAATGATTAAGGTCTTGTGCCAAACATACTTTGTTTTATGTTGAGGTACTTTTGGTAGTTTCATGGGAGGAGAGGAGGGGCAGGGGGAAATCCAGTTGGGTGGAGTGTTATCAGGACCATGGCATTGTATTTTTACTTGGTAATATTTTTGAAGTATGCCTATGTAGATGTTTTTTTTTGCCTTGTGTAAAACTGAACAATATACAGGTTCCCATGAATCTTTGTTCGTGCGTGCCCTAGCCATGTGAACATACATAAATAGGGCATGATAGTCATAGGAGATTTGGCATCTGGCACAGGAGAAAGGCTTAAAGGCATTGTGAGGTTTGGGAACGGGAGAGAGAAAGACACTCAAGCCCCCATGGATGGCTGTATCCTTTAAGAATAGATTTTCTCCTGTTCCACCAACAGTAAGGTCACATTAACATACTTCTCTTTTTCCTTTTGTCAATAGGAAACCGAAAAGAGAAGAGCACCTGAGTGAAGAAGCCATCAAGGTGATTGCTAGCCTTCCCGACTTAACGTTCATGCATGCCAAGGTGTTGATGTTCCCCGCCACATTGACACCTTCCACGAGCTCCCAGGAGAAAGCAGACTGATACCATGTGAACTGGACAGTTTCAATTGCTTTTCCTTCCCTCCATCCCTTCCCTACCATCAAAAGCATACTTGCTCTAATTAAAAAAATTCAAGTTGAGCTGATTTGTTGGTAAGCCTCACTAGAAAGGTATACATAGTAATGTATATTTATTTACATACTGAAGTCCTAAATTTATATTAGAAAACAATGTAAATAATTGGGGGTGAACATTTTTGAAGATTTATTCTTTTTGTGTTGCTGGGGTGTATACATTTATGTCTTTGTGAAATACACTGGTGGTGTCCTTCTTACAAAATTTTTGAAATAAAAAAAGAAAATTAAAAACTCAAATCTCCACTGTCTGAAATCCCCTTCAGTCTTTTCAGATTGCATTGACTGTGCTATTAATTTTTCATATCATATGTTGAAATACTTTTGCTATTATAATAAGTAAATTCCAAAGTCTCCATTTAATTTTTTTTTTTTTTTAATTTTCGTGTGGTGGGTTTATTTCAGTTTCTGCACTCTTTTTTAAATCTTTTCAGTCTGGCATATTGCTATTTGACCTTTTGCAAGGTACTTCATCAATTGCTCTTTGGTGTAGGGTATGATCATTGTTGGAATTTGATTGGAGGGGTTTAAAGAGATTGTGTCTGTTTTAATCAGTTTGGTTTGGAGAAGGACCAAATTATATGAATGTCTTACAATGAAATTTACTTGTTACTGATTTTTTTGTTCTATTGTACCACTGTTTTTGAGGATTTTGCACAGTGTAAAATGACATAATCATAGATTGCTATGGTTTAGGCTGTATATACAGTAAAAACTATGGGTTTTAAATGTTTGGGGAAATTCCTATGGAAAAAAGAGAGACATGTAGAAGAACCTCTAACAAGGTTAATGTGCATGCCAAGGTCTTTTGAGATTTCAGTGTGTAAATTTCCTTTTAGCTTACACAAAAATAAAATAATTTAAAAGAAATTTAGCTTGGTGTCTGTACTTTGATATCTGAGGGGAAATGTGATGAATTTGAATATGAGGTTTTATTCTGTTTTAAGGTTTTTAAATTCAGAGAAAATCTTTTTTTTTAAGATGTATTTTATTTATTTATGCATACAAGAGCTGAGATGCAGACCAGAGGTGCGAGAGGGGATAAGAGGATTCACCAGAGACAGAGCGGGGAACAGAACAGGCAGACTGACTGAAATACACTGCTGAGGGGAGCAGCGGGCAAGACAGGAGAGGTCTGCTGTGCCATGTGGGTCAGTTTCCTGGCTGGGGATCAAACTCGTGCTGCAGTGACTGCCGATAGCTTCATGGTGCTGAGACTTAACCCCATGAGCCACCAGGGAGACCCCAGAAAAAAATCTTTTGGTACAACTTCTTCACCTTTGTTGAAACCAGGAAGAAGTAGAGCCTGACCCATAAAAATTGGATCAGTGCTTTTAGCTACTGGGCTGTTTTTATGTAGAACATGAGACCACAAAAGAAATTCCCATGATTCACTATAAACATCTTCACCAGAATTGACATGGTCAAAGAAGGATTTGTAGAGAACTTTTTTCCTTCCAAGAAAATAAATGCATGAGATTAAGGTCAGCAGAAAATTTCTAGATGCTAGTTTTAAAATGCTAATATTAGATATTTCTTCAGCAAAAAAATCACAGACATTCCTTAAAGAGTGGCAGCCCAACCGTAGACCCCCTCATCTGCTATGAGAATGTTCTAGCGAAACCCTTTTGCACCTCGTTGGTTGACAGTTTCCTGCATTGCCAGGATGTTACACAGGTTTTCAAAACAGTTGCCTGAGTGTAATTAAATAGGGCCTGGAGTGACAATGCTTATCCTCCCATCTGTCTCCCACCGTTTCCCCAGCTTTATTCTCCCCAACTTTATCTTTTTCAAAGGCTTTCCTTAAACAGTCACGTCTTCAGTGCTCAGTGGGCCATCTGAGTGGAAGGATAAAAGTCTTCCTCAGCAGAACTGCATGTTTCAGTAATTGAGCCGTAAAGGGCTGCTGCTTCTGCAGTACATTTTAACTAAATTGTAATGATAATCTCCACCAACCTAAGTTCACTGCCCAATTATTAGCTGTGTTGCCATGAGAAAGTCAACTCTGTGCCTTAATTAGATTGTTTTTTAAAATAGGAATGATACTACCTACCTTGTGAGGTTGATGTATTAAATAATGAATGTAGAACACTTGTCACATGAGGAGACAGTGCAAGATAACCAGACCACAGAGTTAGCAAAAGCTATGAAGTCCTCAGAATCCCAGTAGATACAACAAGCAATCACAGGAGAAGTGATTGCTTACAATAAAGTATTGCATTATTATTTTTTTGAAAGATTTATGTTTACTTATTTATGCATACAAGAACTGGGGTACAGGCCAGAAGTGTGGTGGTTGAGAGGATTCACCAGAGTGGGGAACAGAACAGGCAGGTTGAAATACACGGCTGAAGGGAGCAGCAGGCAAGACAGGAGAGGTCTGCTGCGCCATGTGGGTTTGCTCCCTGGCTGGGAATGGAACTTGTGCGGCAGAGGCTGCGGGTAGCTTCATAGTGCTGCATCTTAACCCCTCGCGCCACCAAGGAGGCCCCTGGATAGTTCATCTTAGGAGCACTTGTAGGTATGCCAGATTTCCATTTGTTTCCATATTTGCCTTTGATATTTAATCACAACACACACATTAATATCAGTGAGGACTTTAATCTTGAGGACCAAAGTGCACAGTTTTGCACCAGACCAAGCCTCCCATTGCACCAGAAAGGAATAGCAGTGGCTGTGTGGGACCAGCCTTGACTTTCTCCCCGAGGTCTCGGCTAAGGGAGAGCCTGTTGGCTGCAGGCTCGGGCATCAGCTGCTTCTGGCGGCAGCTGTTCATTTGTCTTCCTCAAAGTCAACCTGGAAGGCTATGCAGAGCCGGGGAGAAGCAGCCAAGGAATGGAGACCCTCCAACTTAAATCACACACTATGGAGTACTAGGTTAGCTATCAGTTTTTCCTTCTTGATTTCTTAAAACCAACTCATTTATCCCCTACTGTCTCGCCTCACTTGACTGCCAAATCCAAATAGCCATACCTAATAATTCCCTAGTTAATCCAGGCCAAACTGGGAAGTGTAGGAGAAACTCCCCTAAACGGAGTCGTGTGTCACTATTTTTATGAGTCATTTTTTTATATAGAAACTTGTTCTTCCCTCTACATGATCATGGTGTTCTTTATTTAGAACTTGTCATCTTTTTATTCCCTCATGTTTCTTGAATCAGGATTGGGCTTGGCTGTGAGTAACAAAAATCCAAAATACTACATTTCATGTAATAAGACTCCTGTCACATTTGAACTCTGAAATTGGAATGTGTCACACAATTGGATGGGTTACCCATTTAATTGGCAGTGGTTTCTTTTTCTGAGTGATGTACAGAATAATGCTGTCTTACACTCAAGGAGAGTGTTGATAAAAATGGTAGTGGTGGCTTAAGCAAGACTATTTCTCTCACCTGTAAAACATGAGGGAAACAGTCTTGTACTGGTGAAGAGCTTCTTTAAGATAAATCATAGGGGCCTCCCTGGTGGCCAAGGGGTTACGTCTCAGCATTATCACCGCTATGACCTGAGTTCGATCCCCAGGCAGGGAGCTGACCCACATGTGGCCCAGACCTCACCTGCCTCACCTGCTGCTCCCCTCAGCAGTGTATTTCAGTAAATCAGTCTGTTCTGCTCCCCGCTTTGTCTCTGGTGAATCCTCTCACCCCCAACCCCCTCGCACCTCTGGCCTGCTCCCAGTTCTTCTACACAAAAAATGAAAAGATAATCACAGCCTGAAGCTCTGTCTTATCGCACCATTTTCAACATGTGGTTTGTACCTCATGGTACAAGATGACTGTTGATGGCCCATCCACCATGCCTACGTCATTGCTTCCAGCCATCATTGAAGAAAGGGTGAAAAGGGCATTCTCCCTCCTATTATTGACACTTTCAATAACATATACACAATGGGCCTCCCTGGTGGTGCAAGGGGTTAAGTCTCAGCACTATCAAGAGCTATCACCAGCCACTGTGACATGAGTTCAATCCCTGGCCCAGCAGCTGACCCTGGGCGCAGCAGACCTCTCTTTTCTTGCCCACTGCTCCCCTCAGCAGTGTATTTCAGTAGATCCTCCTGTGCTGCTCCCCACTCTGGTGAATCCTCTCACCCTCTCCCCCACAGCTCTGGCCTGCACCCCAGCTCTTGTATGCATAAATACATAAAAATAAATCTCAAAAAAGTATACACTATTTTCAATTACAGTTTATAGCGCAGAATTAGTTGCAGCATCATATCTAGCTGCAAAAGAGAAATACCTTTATTCTCGGCACAATTTGAAAAGGATTGTATTAGTAAGGAAGAAGGTGAGAACAGATAAATACACCACCAAAAGTCTGAGCCACAGCTATTTTTCACTTGCCTATAAAAACAATCTCTCACTGAGCTAAAGTAATATATAGAGAAATGATTCCAGGGCCTGTGCCTCAGGTTACGGCAATGCTTCAGCCTGTATCTGCTGTCCTCCTGCTGCTCTTGCAAGGGGGAAAGAATCTATAGAGGGCAGCACAGGTTTGCTGGGACCTTGAGGGAACAAATGCTAAGACAAATCAAAGGTAAAAGTAAGGCGCAATCTGACGAGGTGGAAGGAGCACCAGATTAGGCTAGGAGTGGCAGGTTCTAATTGTGACGCTGCCCTTCATCAGCTGCAAGTTCTAATATAAATCCTCTTTTCTAAGTCTCAGGTGCTTCTGCCATGAAATGAATTGGAGCCTATAAAATTGAAAACTAAGTAGAAAGAGCCTAGAGAATCATAGAATTTTGGGACTGGACGATCAGCCGGTCCAGTGCTTTGCAAACCACTTCCAGGATCCCTGCTGCAGCATTTCGGGAAGGTTTGGCCCGTGAGCTCTCCAGTGGTGACACGCTGGGTTTCTATACTGAAAGAGAGGAGGGCGATTGCAGATTTATTTTGGTAAATGGGTTCCATGGCAACAAAAAGTTTGAAAGTCAATGATTAAATTCTCAGAGCAGAAGAAATTGAGGCCCAGAAGGCGCATAATGGTACATCTATGACCAGAGGTAGGACCTGACCCCCTTTTTCCTGATTCTTGGCCTTTCCATTTACACCCTCCTGCATCGCTCCCTCTGGACGGGTGGCCAGTCCACTGTTTGCCTGAGCCTTTGCAGGGACCGCGTGTGGACTCAGGATCTCACAAAGTAACCCCCACCGCATGTGCTTTGTCACCAGCACTGACTGCTCTGACTGCCATGGAGCGGAAACTGCTTCTTCATAACTTGTTGGAGTTATGTCCAGCTATCCCCTCTCAACCTGCATGAAATAGACCTAATCTCTTGTCCATAAATACCTGGAGATCACTATCAACTTCTCTCTCTCCACCTCCCACCAGATCTCCTGTGATGACGTGGATTCCAGGCCTGTCCCAAATACATTTTCACCTCCAGACGTCATTCCAGTTCACCATAGTTCTTAAAATGTTTCCCCAGACCGAACCACGTCTTGCTTCATCACTGGCATGGGTTCCTTTTTATTTCAGACACTTCTTTTAAAATACAGCCTAAAATTGTACTACTGTTGTTGGGTTGTCAGAAAAGTCATGACATATTTTTTCTGTTTTTTATGCGAAAATGCATCATGACTTTTCCGACAACCCAATATATAATGGTCTTTTCTTGTGTGAACAGCCTTTTCCCTAGAATTGCCACCAAGCCAGGTTTCCTCTATAATCTGTGTCATTGAGTTTTTAGATCTAAAAACAGTTTCACATTTACCCTTTAGCATTCTAATTTTTGTTAGCTTTGTTTTAGTCTGTTCATCTTTAAAAATCTGTTACACTGTGTAGCATATAGTTTCTTCCTCCCTCCTCAGCTTTTGTCATCCACTGATTAGTAAATAGCCCTTGTGATCCATATTACAGATGCAAAGGTCC